GATGGGAACTTAGCAGTCTACTGAGTAGGGTTTACTCTGGGCACAGAAAAAAGAATTTCAGGACTCACCAGTGAGAGGCATACTGCAGATTTATTATTTAGAATAAGAAAATGAAGGAGAATAGGATAACTCTAGCTAGTGTACTAGAAGGGGTTCATTGTGATGCAGAGGTTCAGACTGGTCCACTCACAGAAGCAAGAAGCCAGCTTTTCAAGATTAGCTGCAATGAGCCACTAGATAGCTCATATCCTCAGTTTTGGTTTTCATGGTTCTAGAGGAATCCTTATGGTTTGAGGGGCAACTTGGTTTCTTGCTAAGAAAGGGGGTTGCCTATAACTGCTACTGCTTTGGGGGAGTTGATCTCATAACAGGGTGATTTGGCAAGGGGAAACTGAGGTTTTTGTAGGACTGGATACTTCTAGGTATCACTGCCATGACGTCTGGACCTGGAGTTTGTGAAGGCTGGAAATCGAGCATCTTTGCAACCCTGAAAATTACTTTCGTAACTTAATGTTCGCAGTCTTGAAGAGGGTTAGGAGAATCTCAGAATATAATTTTCTAACGCACAGACACACAGACACACACACACACACACACACACACACACACAGAAACTTGATTTGGTTATTTAGTACAATAATATACAATAATTTGGAGATTTAGGGCTATGAAACTTGTTTTGCCAACTTTTGATAAACAAAAAAGAAATTTCTGTGCAAAGTAGAAAAGGAATTTGACCTAGAGTTCTTAGGTAATAAAGAAACAAAAAAATTGTATTTCCTTGTTTCCTTTTAGCCTGTCTTTATGTCCTCTATCCTCCCTCAATTAGACTCAGAAAAGCAATTGGTTTTGATTGTAATTTTTAGTACCTAACTATAAAAAGAAAATATGAAAGACAGAAAATCATAAAGACTTGTAAAACCTATTTATTTTTCACAAACAAACATATCTAATCCATCTGGATCGTCAAAGAAGTTATGAAACTATCCAGGTCTCTTAAAATACATATTGGTTTAAAAAAAGCCAATTTTCTAAAATCAAGTTAATTTTAAAAAAAACAAAGATGTGGCTGGGATATAGCTCACTGGCATAAGTGCCTGTCTCACAAGTTGTAAGGTCTTGAGTTCGATTCCTGGTACCAAAAATAAATAAATAAATAAATAAATAAATAAATAAATAAATAAATAAATAAAACAAAGATGTATTTTATCTAGATCCTGGATGTGAAATGACCACTGATTCAATGAAATTAGAAGACCTATAAATATGATAGCTATCATTTCAGTGGACTAAATCTTACATAAATATATGTTTCTTATTGATAATGTATGTTTATTACTGAATGCATTTGAGAGGTCAAATGTGTGTACATTACATTTCCTAACTTTTCACAGTAACGCTGTGTGGGTGCCATTGGTGGGGAGTTGGAATTTCAGAAGTCTAACAGGCTTAGCAGACCGCACAGCAGGAAGCACGAGCAGCTTTCCCACTCACATCCACTGGGTTCAGATGTTTACCCCAAGTCACTTTTTTTTTTCTTAAGCATGGAAATGTTGCAAACAAACTTAGGCAGCTTATACAGCTTTAATTATATGCACAATTCTATTTAGCCAGTGTAACACTTTAAAATGTTTATTACTATTAAGATTGTTTTACTAACTGCAAATTATTGTAGAAAAAGCAAATGAAGTTTCCCTGTGTGCATGTGTGTGTGGGTTAGAATATTATATTTTAAGATTGTCTGTCACACACTCCTCTGTGGAAAACACTACAAATGTCATGTAGAACAAAAATGTTTATACTTCAAGCCCCTTTCCCTTCACAGCCCAATGGAATACCGATTCCTAATACCTAACCCTAATAAGCTTTTGAAAAACGTCAAAATTAACAAGTCATTACCAATAACAATTACCTCTATCTGCATAGAAATTAAAAACGTTTATAGAAGATTTCTCATGCTTAGTATAAAATTGGTGATGAGATTTTTCCTTACTAGTTTGGATTTCCCTGAAATTTATTTTCCTGGTAAATGAACATAATATTCAAGTTCATCTCTGAAGTATGAAAACACAGACAAAAATTATATTTAAATTGTTTGTGTTCTGGATAAATTTCTTTTTGAGAATTTCAATCAAATGGTTTAGATACTATGAATGTAATTAGTAGATTTTAAAACATTTGAGAATCTTTTCTATTGTTTGTGGATGCTTCATGGGTAGATAGAATCTGCTCCATGTGCAAATATATCATTCTATAACTACCTCCCTCATGAAATGGAACAATAGGTGTCTTACATAAAGTTCTCTATAGAGACAAATTTTGCAAAATGAAAACATATCAGTATTTAACAACAGCTCTGATAATATCCTCAGGAATAAAATTTATGCCAGCCATGGTGGAACGTGACTGTAATCTTAGCACTTGGGAGGCTGAGGCAGTAGGATTACCATGAGTTTGAGGCTCACCTAGGATGCTAAGTGAGCTCAAGTCCAGTCTGAACTGCATAATGAAATCCTATCTCAAAATGACAATAAATAAATAAATAAAACTTGCAATTATTAGTGGATTAATCTTAAGCAGCTATATCCCCAATGTGGTTGTAATTTACTTTAGAATAGATGAAATGTCATCCTGTACCTATTTCATAGAATATTACACAGACCTGTTCAGCTGTATATGCCAACCCCACACTTTCATCCCAGAGTAAGTCTGCAGGGTTCTGTGATGGATTAGAATATCAATAGTTTATGGAAATGAGACTTCATTTCTGAGACTCACAGTTCAATGAGTTTATCAGTTCTCAATACCTTTTTTCACCAAACAAAATAATTCCCCAAATTTACATTGTTCATCCCTCATTTGTCCAAGAAGTAAAACAATAGAATCAGCCTCTCTGACCTCAGCTTCTTTCTTTACCTTCCAGAATAACATTTATATACTAAACTAAAGCTGTATGCTTCCCTCTCTTACTCTTTTTTAGATCCTTCCAATAATTCTAGTTTCACTGATTGCTGCATATTCTTTACGAGATCAGCTAGCAATTTTAATATGGTAGAGACCCAAATCCATTTCAGTTATCATTTCATTCTTCAGCTTGGATTTGAGACATTTTTTTCCCAAATAAATGCCACTGATATTTTTCCTAACTCACTATATATAAGTGGTAAGAAATAGTGACAAGTGATCAGGAAGAGGAAGATACAGCTTGTATATTTTGGGAAGGATCAGCATTTCTCCACTATTTTCCTATTATTTTCCCAAGCATATTTACATTAGTGTTGTTGAAAATTTAAAACTACAGCAAGTAGGCTTAATCATATAGAATTAATTTTATTTGAGTTTTTAAGAAACTATGTATTAATCGATCACAACAGATTTCTATTTGTGGAGGATTCCATTTTACAAATATAAAGTCTAAATTTTTAGACCTCATAATTGGAAAATTCTCTTGTTAAAATAATAACCACCTGACTATACTGCTGTGTTCCTTCTTGCCAGTACAGCTGCAATAGAGAAATATGTCTCAAGGCACTGAAGTTTACCAACTGTCCAGCTACGGGAATGATTGTTTGCATCAGGGTCACACCGGCAGGTTGTTTGGGAGTTAATTTTTTTTAATTTTAATTCTTTTATGCACTACTTACTAATTTTATAATTTTCCTTTTGTATTATTGAAAATTAAAGCAAAATCTGATTATAAGTCATTAACTATCAGTACTTTGAACAACTATTTGGGTGGCTAAAATTGTCTAAGTAATATTTTCTCAAATCTTATTTATAACAAGTTATTCCTTATAAGCAGATAATATTTATAGAGTATAAACCATGTTTTTAAGTAAATACCTCTTATTTTATTTTAAAATGCATATGAAAACACATTAAACATTTTTGTGTACTTTATTATCTCTGCAAAAAATAATTCTTACCTCCCTAAATGCATGTATCTGTTTGCCAGGACTCTTTACTATACCTACACAGCACACACATGTACACACATGCACACACACACAGGGTCTCCTGTGTATTACATGCACCAGGTGTGGGTACGTTTCATTCAACTTTCCAAAAAAATTTTCAGAGGAAACAAAATTCATACATCAATGTCGTTGGGCCTTGCTGAATGCCACCTCACTAGTTTCCCTGAAAAATCATAATGCTTCAGTTTCACTTTTATTTTAGCCAAAAAAAAAAAAAAAAGGACAGATTCTTTAGAAGCCCGTCCATTTTTCATTCTAAAGTGGAGCACTGTTCATCGCTGTTTAATTTGTGTACTTCCTAGATTTTAGATTGAGTTCCAAATATCTGACTACTGATTCTATCAAATTTATAATTTTCAATTACTGAAGCCCTCAACTAGGATCCTCACTTTATAATGACTAAAGCATACAACTGATTACTGAGTGTTCATCATAGGCACCCTTATAAAAGATTTGCATCAATTTGTTTCTCTCCATTTCAATTCTACATTAAAGCTGAAAACAAAAGCAGTAGTGTTTACATAACAGTAAGTACCAGAAGCCATGTTCTGATTTTTCTCGCTTTGGTGGTTGTCATATATTTTTTATTTTGTCAAATGTCTAGAATTTTTTATTTTAAAGGGAACAAAACAATAAAATGTCATAAAATAAAACAATGAGAATTCTATTGGATTTCAAAAACAAGACACTAGGAAATCCACAACAGTTATAAATTATAGTGCATATTGTTGTCCTCTAAATAGTTGCTAACACTATCAGCTTTAGGCCTGCAAAGTCAATCAAACAATGCAAGCACCAAATTGTTTCTGTACTTCAGTTGCCATCATCTCAGTCTGTGTTCCTCCAAATCAGCCAGGTGCCAATGGGGGTAGCAGGACTTTCTTCATTCTTCCCCAGCTGGAGGGGTTGCTGCTGTCACATGGGAGGTGGGGTGGGGACGTGGGGGTGGCATGGCATGGCCCTCTTTGTTCTTCCCCAGCCTGGTACGATTGCTGCTGCCATGGGGAATGTGGCTTCTTCCTATACTATTCCTTTCTAATGCTTTGACCATATTTCCAAAGTTCTCAAATGGCCAACAGACCCTAGAAAGAATTCTCTTTATGTCCCCCTTTAAAACAGCAGCCACAGCAAACTATGGGCCTTGATTATATTCTTAACTTACATCTCATCTGTGACTTTGGCATCATGGTCAGTCAAGGTTGTTTGAATATTTAGCTTTCATACCTATATTTGGTATAAACAGTGATATTTTTTCAGTATGTGGCATTGTGAAAAGGTCATGCAGCAGGTGAAGACATTTGATCAATTCAGAAAATGCATTCCCATTGATTTTTATATCTAAATAAAGATTAAGATCTAAAAATACGAGGTGACTATAGGTGACCTGTGATGAGCATTTTAACTATTCTAAGCCCTGTTTTTCTTGTGTATAAACATAGCAAGTAAAAATAGATGATACATCGCAATGTCTTCAATTTTTAACTTTTATGTGTAATTAATAGTAATTCAGTGATCACATTCTTCATAGGAAATTTGTACCTATATATGATATATCTCCATTCTTCCCTCCCATTTCCCTACCCTCCTTTTAAACAATTATTACTCAAACTAGGTCATGAATAAAGTTGATGTTATTTCCACATAAATGATATTACAGTTAGGGAATTGCAAGGAAAACAATTATATACAGGACATATAATTTATAGTATTAGTGATAATGGTCACCCAAGGAGTCACACAAAGAAAGTGCAGGAAATTTGTTCACATACTAAGGACCTAGAAAATCCAGGTGAGGGCCTAGACACTGTGGCAATAACCTGCATGAGTTTAGTTAAAAACTTAGAGCCCAAGACGATGACCCTACAAGCCCAACTGGAAGCTTAGAGCCCACAACAATGACTCATGCAAGTCTGTTTCATGGATCTGCACTAGGAAGACCCAAAGGTCAGCGGTGGAAGCCAGAAAGTCTATGGCAGTGGGATGAAAGATCTGTGTCTGCAGATTGAGGGTTCTGCAGTAGATTCAAAAAACGACACTCAAAGTAAGGATCAGGGTTCCCCCACAAAGTTATCACAGCCATCTTCAGTGACAACGAGGTCCCAAGCTCCTCCAATGATGAGAACAGCTGAATTCCTATCAGGAAGTCAGCATGGAGACTGAGCAGCACACATCTTCCGCTCAGGAGCCAGGAAGCGAAACGATGCTCAGAGGACCAGAGCTGTCCCAAAGGAAACTGCAGCCATTCTCGGTGACAAATCCCAAGCTCCTATGATGATAGCAACTGAGTTCATATCAAGGAAGCCAGCGTGACAAGCTCCTCCAGGAGAACCAACAGCTCCAAACAACACTTAGGAGAATCCACAATGCTACCCTTCCTCTCCAGGTCTCCTTTCTATGCTGGCAATTTTCCTCAGAATGGCCACTACACTCAGCACCATGCTGATTCAGTGCAGCTGATGTTTAAGTTGACCACCAGTTTTTAATCCACCACAAATAATTTACACATTAATTTAAAAATAAGGTTGGTCATTCCTAGAAATAATTTTGGAATTCAAAATCATTGAAATCTTATTCCAAATATTTTTCATAGGTAATTATTCTCAACTAGGAGTAACTTTTCCCCTTAAGGTACATTGGTAATGTCTGGAGACCTTTTTTAACGTTGTGCTAGAGCACAGTTGTTAGATACAGCCAATTGAAAAACATAAATCTCCAGTTATATTTGCATTTCAAAGCAGTTACCAATAGTTTTAATCAATCCATATTTTTTGAGCCAGGGTCTCATTTTTTGTAGTTGAGATTGGTTTCCAATTAACTATGTAGCCCAGGCTGGCTCAAACTTGTGGCAATCCTCTTGACTCAGCCTCCTGAGTGTTAGGATTTCAAGAATGCACCATTAACCCTGGCTCTGAGCAATATTCTGATCAGAAATCGATAGTTTTAGTTTTAAAATAACATTTTACACATTTGTGAAAATTTTACACATTTGTGATATACTAAAATATTATTTGTTGTTTATTTTATATTGAGCTGAAAGCTCTGCGTGTTGTCTGGCAACTCTAAGAGGGATTTGATGTTGCTACAGTTGTCAGGGAGAAGCTAGAAGTTTCAAAACATCCTGCACCATTTAGAACGAGTTCCCTCTGGCACTTCATCTTGAATGTGTTTATAATATTTCACTGGTTTGAAGTGAATAAAAATAATTAAAATTTAATAAGAATTATCCAGTCCAAAACATCAATGGCACTGAAGTCCGGAACCCTTACATGTATTCACACCATTCCTTCACTTCATGTAACATTCAGTCACTTGGATTTTAAATGTTTTATAAGTGACATTGATCCTGCAATTTTTCTACCTGAACCTTTCTAAAAAATACCACTCTAGGTATGAAAATGGGGGGAAATTAGTTGTTCTTATTTGCTATAAATTATGTGTTAAAGGCTCATAAGTGCTTTAAAAGTTTACATAAAGCATAATTGGGGGTTGCTTTCTCTGTTTTTCAGCTGAATTTCACTTAAATTCCAATAAAAGAATAAACCACCATGGTGTCATTTTTGAAATAATAATACACCATCAAAGTATGAAAGTAAAAATTTCAGCACAGTTTTAGATTTAGGTTTGGTAATGCAAAGGTGAATACAGAAAAATCCATGACCTTAAATTTCCTAGTCTAGACTGCAGAGCAACGAAATATGAAGGTAAATGAAAAGCTTGGAGATTTCTAAGTCACTGCAAGAGAAACATGGAATTCATGGTGACGACTTGCCTAAAGGGAACTCAGAAGCACGGTGACCATGCAAGGCCTCCTATTCTGAGAAGTGGACTTCTAGAACATTTTCAGAGCACTCTGTGGATTCTGCTAGTTACAGAGCCATGGCACCTACCAAGCCACTCGCAAAATTGAACTGAACTTTCTAGTTCTGCACTGCAGATCTGTGTCTTATCTCATTTATAAAAGAATTCTCAGTTCTTTTCCCTCTATGGACAGCTGTAAATTAAAAGTGTCACAATCCTTCTGGCCTCTGCCCAGTTACCCATTAGCTCTAATTTGTGAAAATAGTTTCTTTCCCTCTCTATCTCCCCAAAGATGCAGTAACACAAAGTAACTCCAAGCTGTTTGCTGACTAAATGCTGTGAAGTGAATCTGCTGTGTGTGAAAAATTTGCACCCTCATCATGACCTTGCGTAATGCTTCTGCACGTATTAAGGTATAAGCGTAGACTGTAGCATTATCTTCATTTACCACCAGAGTTTGGGTAAACCAGAGCGGTAACTGACAACAACAAAATATGGGAAATACTTTTTTAAAAAGTGCATTTTAATAAAGGGGAAAATCACTTCTATAATACCAGAATACACAATCATTTAAGAAAGATGCACAAAGAGTTTGAGTGGCATCCACAAGAGGAGTAACTTTTTAAAACTGATAACATCAAAGAAAAGGTAGTGAGATGCTATGCATCAAAAACTGTCCCTTAGGGCTTCTCATCCCACTGTAGGTGCTTTGCAGTTAGCTACTATCTGATGGATTACCCTGATATTTTGCAGTTTTATGTTTTCTTGCTGGAACACAGTAAAAGGTATAAAATCAATTCTGGGTACCTGAAACCAGTTTTTAAGCCTAGAAATGATTTACAAACAAGATTTACAAAATATATATATGCATATATATATATATATATATATATATATATATATATATATGCTGGTTTTAGTTGTTTTATTAAGGCACTGAAGTTTATAGTCAGAAGAAATCAATCTATGCCAAATTGGACTCAAGTATGTTGCATGCCCTTTATACGTCCTTGGCCTCTTAAATTTATCTAAGAAAAATACTTATTTTATTTAATGTATTTGGAATTGTATAACATTAATCATGATATCAGTATGTTTTGTTCTCCATGGCTTTCAATTTAGGATAACATCATGAAAAATTATTGTGTTGGCATTTCCTTACCATCACAGTTACAAAATAAATAAATCATAGAAGAGGCAGGATAATAAATCAAAATGCTAAAGTGTCCTTTAAAAATAAAGGACTTCCTCTAAGAATAGGCTGTGAGGTAAAACCAAATTCATGTATCAGTCGGCAAATAGCATAAGTGAGTAAAAGTAATTACCAATGAGGTAGCAACTTTAAATTAGCTAAAATTCCTACAACTGCCATCATCTGAAAATTATCATGGAGATATGAAGAAGCAAAAAGGCAGACTTTGTTGTAAGACTCACCACTTTATTCAGGAATGAAATGCAGTGCATGGCAAGTACATTATTTACATCAAGAAACAGCTACGTCTAAGGTGAGAATATTTTAGGGCTCTGACATTTTATTTTAATTTACAGTTTGCAGTCTATACCTCCACAAATTTTCTATTTAGCTTTTAATAATTTAGCAACACTTCTGTGCTATTTTTTGTGTCTGCTGTGTCTTTCTCTTTCCTCACAAAGTAACATCTTTGAACTTGATCAAATATATTATTTTCTTTTTGCAGCACCTAAAGAATTGATTTGGATATATTTCTGGGAATCACAACTGTTTTTAATTCTCAAATGTAATCCTAAAATATATCATTTTGAGTAAGCATCTCAAATCTCCATCCTTTCTCCCTTAAATCTCTATTTTATATTGGATGTTTTGTATTAAAGGTCAACAAACATAGTGTTTTTCCTATGTAAGTAGTAATGATACAGTCATGCTATTCAATCTTGATAATCTCATTTTTAATTAATCAGATTAGAACAAACTGAAATGTCTGGAGGATAACTTAAGTCTGAAATAGAAAAATGCAGGAATATTTCATAAAATTTTCAGCTACGTAAAATTAATCTTTCAATTCAGCTCACTAAGTAAGAATCTTGATTGCTTTAATTGAAAAGAATACTGTTTTCTATAAATTATCTGTTTGAAGCATTCAATGACCTATGCTAATAAAATAAAATCAATGTTTAATTTCACCAAACTGGGATTTATCATATATTTTTCTCTGAGAGCATATTAGATAGCACCACGAATAACCAAAGAAGTGGCAAGCAGTGAGGTGACCTGGTGAAAAAGTGCATCTCCTGGGGACAGTCACAAGTCCAGGGGTAGAATGATTTTTGCATTTTTGAAGACAACTGCTTACATAATAGATTATCTTAAAAATCTGTGGA